ATAAATACACATCGTCACAGTCCTCCGACTGAGGGTTTTGTTCCGTGCTGACGTTAGTTCTGCAGATTGGTGCAGCCCCATTGGAGGAGGAAGGGGGCAGGGGATTACACTTGACTGATTGGGTTCTTCTTCGTCCTTGCTCCAGGTACACCTTGTGCACGACGGAAATCGTTGGGGGATGGGTGGTTATGGTGTCGCGTTTGAGGGATTTTCCTCATCGCAAGTGGTGTGCCCTGTGCCCTGACCATAACCTCCATAACAACCAATCGAAAAACCAAATTTAAAACTGTTGATCTGGTATGCGTGTGAGTGACCCTACAGCCTTGTACAGGATTATACCCTTCGATTTTGCTCACTCCGAAGAGAGAATAAGGCCAAGGTGACCAAAAAGGCGCAGTTCCAACTCGGATCGAGACCTCAGCAACTATGGCATTAAAAAGATCTGATCCGCTGCGAGACATATGTGTTCACCTGAGAAAGATGCTGAACCTTACAATCCAAAGCTTTCTGAACCCCAGGACTCGCAAAAGAGGCACAACCACAATTAAGGGGAAATATGGATTTTTCTGACCAAAAGTTCATCACAGTGCAACCTTGATTACTTGCACTTTCTATTCCAGAGCTTTGTCTTGTCGTTTGTCACGGTGTCTTTGTGAAGAGGCCAGAAAGGAACAAGATGAGCATATAGTACTTTTATGGTTTACTAGTTCTGCTCAAGCATTGCAATGACACCATATTTCGAGGCTAAATCTAAATGTTGTGGTTCAAGGGAGCACAATGTGGCAACGTGCACGAACTGTTGTACACTCTAGTTCGCTGCGGACGGTTGGGCGTGTCAGGCAGTATGAGTGTGTCACCCCGTCAAAGCCGTTCTCTGCCTTCTTGTTGAAGCGCGCATGCGACAAAAAGTGGTAGAAAACGAGTAATACGAACGATATGATACAGTCATATCATTTGCTCGCTTTAACAACTGGTGGAGAACGGGTTTGGCACCGCGCCAAACTCATCCCGCCTGACACGCCCAACCGTCCGCAGCGAACTACACTATATGCGAGCCTGCTGATTCGCCACGTTAGTAGCACTAGGCGCTGTTTGGTTAGCGAAGGGCATTTCACTTCTTTCGCTAGTTACTTCTGCTAGTTCGCTTAAGTAACAAATCTCTTTTGACCTTCAAACCTGTAGACTCTCGTGAAGATTTGACATGGATAACTGAGACAGGATCACAAAATTTACAGGGTTCGCAGTGTGGAATGAACAAGGTTCACCCAATCAAGTTTGGTGCCCCCACCTAGCCGAACTGAACCCACATCCAGAGTTGGATCAATCCGAATTGAAAGTAGCTGTGCATGCATGAGACGTGGCCATTATCCAGCGCCTTACACAGCATCATCAAACTATGGGAAGAGAGGTACTTTTCCGTGTTCCGCCAGTTTCAAAGGCAGTGGGCACGATGGCTCAGGGCGGAAGGCCGCTGTCAACGTCGCTGGTGGAAGGGCGGTCGCGTTCATACTTCGCAACGGCAGCGCTTCGGTCGCGCGTTCGACGCGATCAATGCAGTCGAAAGCATGCACATCGATCGCGTCCAACGCGCGACCGAAGCGCTACCGTCGCGAAGTCTGAACGCTGCCTGAGGGCGCTTCGCCGCTACATCTCACACCGCTTTGACCAATGACCGTGGCCCAGTGTTTGCAACGCCACCACGCCCCCCCCCCATCCCTCCAAACCATTGCTGTCGCTAGCCTGTTTCAGACAATAACAAACTCGTTACTCGAATGAGATTTAAATGCGGTTTAAGTTACCATCTGTCGGATTATGGCACCTTTGGCCTTTGCCTTTTTCTCTCCTCAGTGAAGGGCCGTGGCTCCACCATCTTGCTCCTCAGTTTCTTGGCAGTTGAGTATGGCAGCCTATGCTTCGCTACGCCGTAAAAACCTGATAGGCAGGCAAGCTGCCTTAAAAGCCACAGTGTGGAAGGGCTTTTAACCACATCGCCCTTACGATGCATGAAGATGAGTGGAATGAGCTAAAACAACTACGGAACAATGGCTAGATATACGTAAGAGGTACTTCTGCATCTTTTCGGCGCGCTATGACGAGAAGATAAAAATTAGATGACTTTATACGTAAATATATAAACTAATTATATACACATTTACACATCGACCCATTCACATTGATCCACTTCTCTTTGATCAATTGTGTCTATGACGGAGTCGAATAACTGATGAACCTTTCGTAAGAACTCATCTGCTTCTCGCATCGAACTGCACTGAAGGACGTGACATTTATATTCGGGCTCGCAGTGGCGTGCCTTTACTACCATGGCAATATTGTACCTGAAAGTTACTGAATCAGCTCGTAATTTCGCCTTTTTCAGAAAATGTCACTGTGACAACGGGATAGGCACTACCCCAAAAATGGAAACGTTCCAAATAACCATAATCAATTTTCCTTTATTACGAACGCCCAGGGGGAAATGTTTGCCAAAGCCTAGGGGAAAGGAGTTATCCCAAGCTCAGGCAAAGATCGTTTCATCCCCTCGCAATCAATTCTTCGCACCTTCCACCACTTACCATAAGCGCTGCCTCATAGGAAAAGGTTAGCAGATGTGTGAAATGGTGGTATCAGTACGACACCCCACCTAAAAGAACGTCTCGGCACAAACCACCCTCCCCCCATCCTACTCACCACTTTCCTAGTTTTTCCAACTTAATACCAGTTATTCTAGAATTTCCCGAAAAATTTCGCTTTCCAGGGGGACGGGGGAGGGGCATATAGTACACATGAAACAGGCAAAATCACGCGAAAAGTCAACAACCGGGAAGAATTTTTCCCAACGCAGCACACTTCTCTCAAAGGTACATACGACCTCCCGCCTATCCATGACCCAATACGACCATCCTCTCCGGCGGGGGTAGGTACGACCCCCCCCCCCCTCCCCATGTGTTTCACACAACGATGCCGTACCCTGGAGGGTGAAGAGCGAAAAAAGAAGCCGAAAGAAGTATTTGCTCTCGACAAGAACACCTTGTGCAATGTGCGACTGCTGTACTGGTGAAACCCGTGCGACCCCTTCTGCAGAGGGATTGGGTTCACCCACTCCAAAGCCGCCGTGTAGGGTTTGAAGTCCCTTTGCCTCCCTTCTAGACTAAAATAGAAGGGGTATCTCCACAAGGGCCAATACCACTTTTGGGCAAAGAAACTCGTTGTGTCGCCCTGTTCCCTTTAGCCCATTTGTGGCAGGAAACGTAATATTCCGCAACTTGAAAGAACCGTTGTGGGTGCAGTTCGATTTGTTGGGGACATAACAAAGCATGCAGGCAGCCTTACGAATACCTGTAAAATCTTGTAGGCTTCTTTGTAGCACTTCAGAGTTTCCCAGTTTACAGGACTCACCAAGGTAAGACCTGACACTCAACAAGAGCTAGCTAAAGTGGAGCTGGCGATGGTTCAAAATGCCCCTTCCAACAGCGCTTCTTGTGCA